GTCAATTCTGTCTGAAGGCAAGAGAAATTTCTGAATTTAAGAACCCCTCATTCTCCAGGATTCACCTGAGCTGGTCTTCACCTGGTACCTTCGTCCTGAGAGCTATGTTTCTTATCTCTAAGCCTACTCCTAAAACTTTTGCATTAGTTCTGATAATTTACACATGATGTCTTAGACCCATTTCCTTATATTGCTATTATGTCCAGTATTGACTCCTTACTTGTCTTAGTCTCTCTTGTGCTGCTACAACAAAATATCTCAGACTGGGTAATTTATAAAGAATAGACATTTTTCTCTCAAAGTTCCTGAGGCTGAAAAGTCTGAGATCAAGGCACCAGCAGGTTTGGTTGTTTAGAGAGGGCTGCATCCATTAGAGGGGAGTAACATTATGCCCTCACATGGAGGAAGAGCAAGAGACAAATGCTTTGTGAAGCCTCTTTTATAACAGTCTCAATCCCATTCACCAGGAGAGAAGCCCTCATATACTAATCACCTCCTAACATCCCACCTCTTACTACTATCACCTTGGCAACATCTGAGATTTGGAGGGGTCACTTTTAAATCATAGCGCTACCCATATTCTTGCAAGTCCCTCCCAAGAATTGGAATACTGCCAGAAAATCCCCATGCCTTGACAGAGACATGCTACCTGCTAACACATCCCCAGATGGTGAACATGAGATGCCTCATGTGCCAGGAGGCATAGTTGGTGCCCTGTTTCTGTTGGGACATTAAGGAGGCACAGTTTGGAATCCCTTGTTGGACTGTACTCGGACTTTTTCCACATGAAGGAACACATCTAACTACAAACCCTGAGTTCTCCCAACATGTCCCACCCTATTACATTTTATTTGGTCATATTAGGTTGTGTCATTACTCTCCAGAGTGTTATGGCTAAGACACAAAAAAAGGACATTTCTGACAAAGGGCTCTAAAATTATCCCCGAAACTAGTTGAGGTGGATAAACGCTAAGATGGCCCCAATTATCCCTACCTCCTGCTATTCATACCCTTGTACAATCCCCTCTCCTGGAGTGTTGACAGAACCTGTAACTTGCTTCTAACCAAGAGCAAGAGGCAAAATTGTTAAGAAATTACTTCCTTGAGTACATTACATAAGATGGTAACTTCTACCCTGCTACCAGATGTTAACTACTCATTCTCTCCATTGCTGGCTTTGGTGAAGTAAGCTGCCCTATAGAGAAAGCTACATGGCAAATAACTCAGAGCAGCTGTCAGACAGTTGCCAGCAAGTAGCTGACACCCTCTAACCAAAAATCCATGGGGAACTGAATTCTGCCAATGACTACAAGCTAGAAAACAGCATTAATTCAAGCATCTGATGAGACTCCGAGCTTGGATGACACCTTGAGACTTCTGAGTGGCCTTAGCTAATCTCCACCGAGATCAGCTTAGCACAGCACCAAACTGGTGAGAACAGAGGGCAACTGCAAGTCTCATAAACTGCTACTGTAAATGTAAAATAAATAAACCATTCTGGAAAACTCTTTGGCAAATTCAAATGTACATCTATCTTATATCTAATAGTTCCACTTCTATTTACCCAGAGAAAGTAATATATCTACAAAATGGCTTTTATACAATTTCTGATTGCAGCTTTAACCACAAAAACCCCAAACTGAAAACAATCCAACTGTCAACTGATAGCAGAATTGATAAACAAATGTTGTTCTATTCATTCAATGGCATCTTACTCAACAATAAGAAGAAACTACTGATAAGCGTAACACCATGCATGAATCTCAGAGACATTTTGTTGAGGCAAAGTCATTCAAAATCCCCCTCCCAATAAATACGGTCCTATTATTCCTTTTTTATTGAAGTTCAGGAAAAGGAAAAACTAATCTATGAAAGAAGTCAAATGCGTGTTAGAGATTTACTGGAATGGGCATAAGGGAATTTCTTAGTAATGAAAATATTCTAAATCTTTACAGTGTTGTTGAATATGTGGGCAAAACTTACCAAATTATATAAACTTAAGATCTGTATAATTCACTATGCATAAATTTTGCCTCAATTAAAAAAAGACTAGAGACACTGTGAACAATTTTATAAATATAAATTCAACTCTTTAGATAGAATTAACAATGTCTTCCATTTTATGATGAGAAAACAGATTTTCAACAAACTAGAAATAACCTAATAAAGTGAAGATAAAGAACTTTTAAACCTACAACATATATTTTAAAGTGAAATGTAGAAGTCTTTTCCTTTGAGCTTTTTTCTTATCATTACACATGAAATAAGAAGGTCTACTAAAACCAGTTCTATGTGACACTGTCCTGGAGACGCTATCAAAAAAAGAAATAAAGATAGAAAATGGAGATATAGAGCCACCATTAGTTTTAGATAACATAAGATACAAATTAATCTGGAGCAAGGACATTAGATATCCTATCTACTAAAGTTAAAAAATAAAGCTTCAAAACAATACCATTTCTAAAAGATTTGATCAAACACCTTATAGTAAATCCACTGAAAGTAATTCAACCAAGAACACTGCAAAACATTGCCAAGAGAAACTGAAGATATATACAAGTGAAGGTTTATATTATGGTATACCTGAACTGGAAAACTCAATTCATAAAGTTGTCAACTGACTCCAAATTTTATATATATATACATGAAGTCTGTGTTCTCCAGGATTCACCTGAGTTCATCTTCACCTGGTACCATATATATACACACATATGTGTGTGTGTGTGTGTGTGTGTGTGTATACACATACATATGTGTATATGTATACGTGTGTATATATGTATATATATACACACACACATATATACGTATACATGTGTGTGTGTATATATATATGTGTATGTATGTATAAAGTCAATGCAATTCCAATAAAAATTCCAGCTGTTTTGTTTATGGTGAAATCGATGGGCTCATTGTAAAATGCAAATGATGGTTGTGTGAAGTGATGCAGGCCTATAATGCCAACATTTTGCAAGGCTCAGATGGGAAGATCACCTCAGCCAAGGATTTCAAGAACAACCTGGCAACACAGACCTCCTTCTCTACAAAAAACTTAAAAATTAAAATTAGCCAGACGTTGTGGCACATGCCTGTAGTCCCAGCTATTCAGGAGGCTGAGGTGCAAGGGATCACTTGAGCCTATGAGACTGAGGCTGCAGTGAGCCATGATTGTGCCATTGCACTCCAGCCTGTGTAATGGAGTAAGACCCCATCTCAAAAAGAATGCAAATTATAACACAAAGAGTAGACACTAAGAAATACAATCTTAAGGGAGAACAAACTTAGAGGAGTTACATTATCAGATACCAAGTTTATTATAAAAATATAGTAACAAAAACACTATGGTACTGGCATAAGCAGAGACAAATAGACTGCTGGAACATAATAGAGAGTTCTGAAGTAGCCTCAAACATGTATGTTACCTACTTTATAACAAAGATCCTACTACAGTGCAGTGAGAAATAATAGTGTTCTCAATAAATGGTGGTGATTAACTGGATAATCATATGGGAGGAAAAATTTTTTAAACACCTTGACCCTTAGACTTCATGCATAAAAATAAGTTCCAGATGGATTGGCTTAATGTGACTTAAAGACTGAAATGTGAAAGGTAAAATTATAAAGCTTGTAAAAGATTACATAGGAGAATATCTTCATGACCTTGTAACTACCAAAGATTTCTTAACAAGACAGAAATAGCACCAAGCATAAACAAAAAGGTTGATAACTCGGACCTCATTAAAAAGTAAAACTTCTGTTCATAAAAAGTTATTAAGATGTTAAGAAGTCAACCACTGAGTGGCAGAGGTTTCCAATACATATAGCTGATTGAAGACTCCAAGAATATATGAAGTTATTATTCAAATTAATAAGAAAAAGCAGACAATCTAATTTTTAAATGAGTAAAAGTATGCAGCAGGCATTTCACACACATACACGCACACACAAAATCCTGAGGCTTCAGTGAGCCAGGATTGTGCCACTGCACTCCTGCCTGGGTAATGGACTGAGATCCCATCTCAAAAAGAAGGCAAATTATAACACAAAGAGTGGACACTAAGAAATACAATTTTAAAACAGAACAAATTTGGAGGAGTTACACTATCAGATATCAAGCTTATTGTAAAACTATAGAAACCAAAAAAAAAAAAACCTGGAAAGATCCTCAATGTCATTAGTCACCAGGAATATCCAAATTGGAGCAACAATAAAACATGATATTCATCTACCAAAATAGCTTTAAAATAAAAAAACAAGAATAACAATTCCAAGTATTAGTGAGAATACAGAACAACTATAACTCTTATATACTGTTGTGATCTTAAATTAATATAACCACTTTGGAATTAATATAACTACTTTGGAAAACCCTTGGCAATATATACTAAAGCTGTATATGCATAAATCCTATACGCCAGCAATTCCACTTCTAGATATATACACAATAGCAATGAATGCAAATATATAACAAAACATTATACAAGAATGTTTGTTACAGAATGCTTCATAATAGACAAAAATTGAAAACAGTCCATTAACAAACAATAGAATGGGTAAAGTGTAAAATTCAAACAAAGGAATATGCCAGCGAATTAAGATATCAGCTGAAAAAGATTAACAAGTAGACTGTTAATGGTAGAAACAAGATGTGTGGCACATAAATGTTCCTTCAAAATGCTTTCAGTTTACCAAAATATTTAAAATGATTCATTAGTAAAATGTTCAGAGAAAAGGTCATGACTAATAACATGTTGGTTACTACTACTAATATGAGGAATTCAAAAGAAAAACATAAGGTGAATACACTATTACTATAACAAATTAGAAAACTATGTGATAAATAATCTTTTTAACAGAAATAATATGAAATATCTGAGAATAACTATTACAAGAAATGATAATATTGATCAAAATTACAAATTCTGCTTTTAACCAACCCAGACAAACAAACCAGATATATATTATTGCCAGATAAAAATGGCTGAAGACTGAGGACTTACCACAGTCCAGCATTAGACATTCATGAACTTTCCTCAGGACTAACTTTAATTCCTGAAAATTTCATGAACCTAATAAAAGAAGAAAGCAAACATAATCATCCATTAGTGACAAATTACCCTGGTATTTTGGCATCAAAATAATGTGAAATATATTTGATTTTTCAAAATAAAATTATAAGATAATTTGATTATGTGAATGCAGTATGGCATACACATTTTTATAAATGGAAGCAAAGCACATCTTAATGATTTTAGGACTCCCTTAAGATTGGCTCATGTCAATTTATCATTTTATCAATTCAATTTTGTTTGACTTACAGATGACTTGTATTGACTGCTAACAGGAAGAAAACCAGAAGCAAATGAGACTAGTAAACAGGATGCTATCAAAGAAGCTGTTATGCTTTTGCTTTTGGCTTTTTTCAAATGTCTTTGCATTTAGCTTCTGAATATGAAGATATTCTCAAATGAAGATCAAACATCTTCCTACAATCACTGTTCATGTTTCAGTTATTTACATTAATGTGGATCTCAGCAACCAAAACACCTCTGAAAAGATGAACTGTGTGCAAGGCAACAAACAGGCTCTGCCAGGTGTGCAGAGATGACCAGGATTAGTTGCTGCCATCTGAGAACTGCTAAGCTCAAGTCTAGGGTGAGGATTTATCAGAGAAAATACTGTAATAGAGTTTTTGACAGAAAATTTCCCGGTGTATATAATTGTACTTGTGATGAATGAATCTGTTGCAATTTAACACGTTCATTAATGAATCAAGAGAGAAGACAGAGTGGTGACACACTGGGCAAGTCGCTTAACCTCTTGTGGCCTTCAGCTTTTCTTAGTGCCTCTTTGCTCCTGCATACAACTATTTCTACTCCCTAAGCACAATCCTCTCTATCTTGAAGAGCTTGCAGTGAACCCTGGCTAAACATTCTTCCACCATCTCTCTTCCCCTCCTTTCCTCTTGCCAGCCTGCCTTTTTCATTCAGAGCTCAGCAGAGATGTAACTTTTTATTCTCAGAAAATGTGACTCTATCTCTTCATTCTGAGGTAGGTGGCCCCCTCATACTTCCACAGCATCCAGTCATGTTGCCTTTATCACTCTTGTATATTTGCCAATCTGCGTGTACTTTTTCTTCTCTATAATGAGAAGTTTCTATAGGTCTGGAACTTTGTCTTGTTCACTATTTTATATCCAGGAACCAGGTTGTTCCAAACAAATATGCTATACTTGGTGCTTCCAAAATCATAGATGGGATCCTTCTAAAATAGACACCCTAACATCACATTTAAAAGAACTAGAGAAACAAGAGCAAACAAATTCAAAAGCTAGCAGAAGACAAGAAATAACAAAGATCTGACAACAACTGAAGGAAGTAGAGACACGAAAAACTCTTCAAAAAAATCCATGAATCCAGGAGCTGCTTTTTTGAAAAGAGTAACAAAATAGACTGTTACCCAAACTAATAAAGAGGAAAAGAGAGAAGAATTAGATAGACACAATAAAAAAAATGATAAAGGGCATATCAGTACTGATCCCACAGAAATACAAACTACCATCAGAGAATACTATACACACCTCTTTGCAAATAAACTAGAAAATTTAGAAGTAATAGATAAATCCCTAGACACATACACCCTTCCAAGACTAAACCAGGAAGAAGTCAAATCCCTGAATAGACTAATAACAAGTTCTGAAACTCAGGCAGCAATTAATACACTACCAACCACAAAAAGCCCAGGACCAAATGAATTCACAGCCAAATTCTAAAAGATGCAAAAGGAGGAGCTGGTAGCATTCCTTCTAAACCTATTCCAAGCAACAGAAAAAGAGGGACTCCTCCCTAACTCATATTATGAGGCCGGCATCATCGTGATACCAAAATCTGGCAGAGACACAACAAAAGAAGAACATTTCAGGCTAGTATCCCTGATGAACATCGATGTGAAAATCCTCAATAAAATACTGGCAAACTGAATCCAGCAACACATCAAAAAGCTTATCTACCACAATCAAGTCGGCTTCATCCCTGGGGTGCAATACTGGTTCAACACACACAAATCAACAAATGTAATCTGTCACATAAAAAGAACCAACGACAAAAACTACATGATTATCTCAGTAGATGCAGAAAAGGACCTCAATAGAATTCAACACCGCTTCATGCTAAAAACTCTCAATAAACTAGGTATTGATGAAATGTATCTCAAAATAATAAGAGCTATTTATGACACACCCAAGCCAGTATCATATCGAATGGGCAAAAACTAGAAGTATTCACTTTGAAAACTTGCACAAGACAAGGAGGCCCTCTCTCACCACTCCTATTCAACATAGTATTGAAATTCTGGCCAGGGCAATCAGGCAAGAAAAGAAATAAAGAGTATTCAAATAGGAAGAGAGGAAGTAAGATTACCTCTGTTTGCAGATAACATGCTTGTATATTTAGAAAACCCCATCATCTCAACCCCAAATCTCCTTAAGATGATAAGCAACTTCAGCAAAGTCTCAGGATACAAAATAAATGTGCAAAAATCACAAGCATTCCTATACACCAATAACAGACAAACTAAGAGCCAAATCATGAGTGAACTCCCATTCACAATTGCAACAAAGAGAAAAAAATACCTATTACTACAACTTACAAGGGATGTGAAGGACCTCTTCCAGGAGAACTACAAACCACTGCTCAAGGAAATAAGAGAAACCACAACAAATGGAAAAACATTCCACACTCATGGAGAGGAAGAACTAATACTGTGACAATGGCCAAACTGCCCAAAGCAATTTACAGATTGAATGCTATTCCCACCAAGCTACCATAGACTTTCTTCACTAAATTAGAAAAATTGACTTTAAATTTCATATGGAACCAAAAAAGAGCCTGAGTGGCAAAGACAATCCCAAGCAAAAAGAACAAGGCTGGAGGCATCACAATACCTGACTTCAAACTACACTACAAGGCTACAGTAACCAGAATAGCTTGATACTGGTGCCAAAACAGATATATAGAACGATGGAACAGAACAGAGGCCTCAGAAATAGCCACACATCTACAACTCTCTGATCTTTGACAATTCTGACAAAAACAAGCAATGAGGAAAGGATTCCCTATTTAATAAATGGTGTTGGGAAAATTCACCAGTCATATGCAGAAAACTGAAACTGGACCCTTCCTTATCCCTTATACGAAAATTAACTCAAGATGGGTTAAAGATTTAAACATAAGACCTAAAACCATAACAACCCTAGAAGAAAACCTAGGCAATACCATTCAGGAAACAGGCATAGGCAAAGACTTCATGACTAAAACACCAAAAGAAATGACAACAAAAGCCAAAATTAACAAATAGGGTGTAATTAAACTTAAGAGCTCCTGCACAGCAAAAGAAACTATCATCAGAATGAACAGGCAACCTACAGAACAGGAGGAAATTTTTACAATCTATCCATCTTACAAAGGGCTAATATCCAGAATCTACAAATAACTTAAACAAATCTACAAGAAAAAATACATACGACCCCATCAAAAAATGAGTAAAGGATATGAACAGACACCTTTCAAAAGAAGACATTTATGAGGCCAACAAATATTTTAAAAAGCTCATCCTGGCTATTAAAAAATTGTATTAAATAATTTTTTAAAGCACATCATCACTGGTCATTAAAGAAATGCAAATCAAAACCACAATGAGATACCATCTCACACCAGTAAGAATGATGATCATTAAAAAGTCAGGAAACAACAGATGTTGGAGAGGATGAGAAATAGGAACACTTTTATACTGTTGATGGGAGTGTAAATTAGTTCAACCATTGTGGAAGACAGTATGGCAATTCCTCAAAGATCTAGAAATAGAAATATCATTTGACCCAGCAATCTCATTACTGTGTATACACTCAAAGGATTATAAATCATTCTACTATAAACACATATGCATGCATATGTTTATTGCAACACTGTTCACAATAGCAAAGGCTTGGAACCAACCCAAATGCCCATCAATGATAGACTGGATAAAGAAAGTGTGGCACATATACACCATGGAATACTATGCAGCTATAAAAAAGAGCGAGTTCAAATAAGGGATCCAAGACGGCCGCATAAGAACAGCTCTGGAGTGCAGTTCCCAGAGAGAACAACGCAGAGGGTGAGTGATCATCACATTTCCAAATGACTTATTATGCCCACAGACCAGAAGATTGTCATCTCTGATAAAACAGACTTTAAACCGACAAATATGAAAAGAGACAAAGAAGGGCATTACATAATGGTAAAAGGATCAGTGCAACAAGAAGAGCTAAGAATCCTAAACATACACGCACCCAATACAGGAGCACCCAGATACATATAGCAAGTTCTTAGTGACATACAAAGAGACTTAGACTCCCACACAATAATAGTGGGAGACTTTAACACTCCACTGTAAATATTAGACAGATTAAAGAGACAGGAAATTAACAAAGATATCCAGGACTTGAACTCAGATCTGGACCAAGCAACCCTGATAGACATTTACAGAAATCTGCACCTCAAAACCACAGAATATTCATTTTTCTCAACACCACATCACACCTACTCTAAAATTGACCACATAATTGGAAGTAAATCACTCCTCAGCAAATGTAAAAGAATGGAAATCATAACAAACAGTATCTCAGACCACAGTGCAATTAAACTTGAACTTAGGATTAAGAAACACACTCAGAACCACACAACATCATGGAAACTTAACAATGGGCTCTGGAATGTTGACTGGATAAACAATGAAATGAAAACAGAAATAAAGATGTTCTTTGAAACCAACAAGAACAAAGACACAATGTACCAGACTCTGGGACACATTTAAAGCAGTGTCTAGAGGAAAATTTATAGCAATAAATGCCCATATGAGAAGCAAGGAAAGATCTAAAATCAACAGCCTATCATCAAAATTGAAAGAGCTAGAGGGGCAAGATCAAAAAAGTCAACAGCAAGCAGAAGACAACAAATAACTAAGATCACAGCAGAACTGAAGGAGATCGAGACACAAAAAAAACCCTTCAAAAAATGAATAAATCCAGGAG